AGAAAAATATAGTTCTCCTTCTATTTGTAAAAAAAATTAAATATTCGTTGCTTTTAGAAGATATTAGCAGACTAGCGGACAAGATAAAAAATTGGGAAAACCATGAATTAGGGCTTAAATCAACAAAAAAAAGTCTTTACTTTTAAATTTAATACTTTTGAGCTCCTTTCTAAACCTTTTGAGTAATTATCAAACTGACTTTTGAGAATTTAGGTATTATATGAAAGACTAATTCAACAAATTTTATTTTAATTTGAAAAAATCTCTGGTCTTACTCCTTACTAAACAAATGCTCCTTGAACGCCCGGCGTACGCCCCGAACGCCCGGGCATACGCCTCTTGAGACTTTCGCCCCACACCATCGCCCCGGGGCGTTTTTGGTATGCCTCGCCCCGGGGCTCGTCCCAGAAACGCCTTTTAAAACAGAGGGCAGGAGCATTCGCCCAATTACGGGAACAAGAGGTAATCACCTTTGTATGGAGAAACATCATCTGCCGATTCGGCCTACCCAAGAAGATCAGTTGTGACAACGGACCCCAGTTCACGAGAAAGAAAACCGCTGAATTCTTCGAGAAATGACATATCAAGAGGATACTCTCAATCCCATATCACCCAGCGGGTAACGAGCAAGAAGCGTCCTCCAACAATTCCATACTAAACATCATGAAGAAAAAGCTCGAGGACGCCAAGGGACTGTGGCCGGAAATACTACCAGAAGTATTATGGGCCTATTAAACAACTCCGAAAATGAGCACAAGAGAAACGCCCTACTCTTTGGTATATGGGATCGAGGCAGTAATACTGGTCGAAATCGGAGAACCCAGCCTAAGGTACTCACACGAAAACGTTGTGAATAACGATGAGAGCAGAATGAAGGAACTCGACGAGATCGATGAACGAAGAGATTTGGCGTACATAAGAATGGTCGCCCAAAAATAACATGCAGAACGCTATTGCAACAAGAAAGCAAAGGTCCAGCCACTTAAAGTCGGGGACTACGTACTGAAAGCCAAAACTCAAGCGAGAAAAGATCCCCGGGAAGGCAAGCTGGGAACAAACTGGGATGGTCCGTACAAAATCACAGCCAAAGTAAACAACGGTTCACTTCAACTAGAAACAATGGAAGGAAAGCAACTACCAAACAATTGGAACATCAACCACCTCAAATACTTCAACTTCTGAGAGAAAGTGTCCCTCAAGTCGTACTATTTTTCCCTTGCTTGAGCTTTGTCCCATTTGGGTTTTTTCAAGGAGGTTTTTAATGAGGCGGCAAAGGGAACACAACGACTCGAAGTACGCGAGGGAGGGACCTATAATTTTCATTGGTCGACTCCTCGATACTCTCCAAGTCCAACAATGAAGGGACTAGGTAGACTAGGACTGAGACTGGAACGCCAGCCAACACCAAAATCTGTAACTCTCTCCAAGTATGTAACGAAAACAACAACGTCAAAGTAATAAGAAACTTACGTTTATCACTTTTTTCACCTTTTTCGTATCAAGGTTATGTTCTACCTCGCTCGAACAAACACCTACCGGCCCTCGACTGCGATTTAACGAAAGTTTATGTTTGACTAAGCTCGAACAAATACCTATCGGCCCTCGGCCACGATTCAACGAAAGGTTATGTTCGACTAAGCTCAAACAAATACCTACCGGACCTCGACCGTGATCTAACGAAAGGATATGCTCGACTAGGCTCGAACAAACACCTATCGGCCCTCGGCCGCAATTCAACAAAAGGTTATGTTCAACTAGGCACGAACAAACACCTACCGGTCCTCTGCCGCGATTTAATGAAAGGTTATGTTCGACCTCGCTCGAACAAACATCCACCGGCCCCCGTATCATACCAAGCGTTCTCCTAAAGTCGGTCTACTCCCTCGTCCCCAACCTCCTCATCACCCTCGAGCGTAGCGGGATCATATCCATAAGAGACTCGAGCTTTACGAGCCTTAACACGAACATCTTCAAGGGCAGCCTTAGAGATGGACCCCGCCGCATACAAATCTCAAAATACATCTAACTGGGCCTCGGAATGAATCCATTCTTCATATAACTCCCGAGGTACATTGGGAAAATCTGAAATACGGGGGAGGACGGCTGTGTAAGTAATTGGGCCTTCTCAGCCTCCAAAGCGGCCACTCGATCATGAAGAACAGAGTTATCTTTCTCCACCCTCTCCCCGAGTCGATCTTCCTTAGCTCTAGCCGTTGATTGATCGTTCTGCAGCTCATCTCGGAGAGTCCTATTTTCCAACTCAAGCATCTTTGTCTTCCTCCGAGCATCCAAACGAGAAAACTCTGCCTTCTCTAGCTCCTTTTGCTTCTCGGCAATCTCACTATTGAGGGTCTCCAGCTGAAGTCAGAACTCTTTTAATTGCCTTTGCAACTCGATCACTTGAGCTTGAAGTTAACTACATTGGGCCTCCACGCCCCTGCTGACCTCTAGCTCATCTTCCCTACTCCTCAACGTCCCCTAGAGGACGCTACACTTCTCGATATCCCGCACCAGCTCATCGTCCTTCTCTTTCAACTCGTCCCGAAGGCCCTGCATGTCGCCACCCTCACGAAACCGCTTGCGGAGATCTTATTGCTTTCCACGATACTCAAAGTATTTATCCTTCAATTTTACAAAAAATGTCTTTACGCCTCTTCTCCCTCCGGGCGCTCTCGATTTCCAAGATCGCCGTCTGCAATCATAAAAAGGAAAGAGAAGAAAGAAGCCAGAACCAACGACGCTTGAAAAACAAAAAAAAAAAGAGTTTGAAACACAAACACTGACCCAGAGAGCAAGGCCAGCAATGCTCCTCGACAAAGCACCAACGTCTATCTATTTGAGGGTCTTACCCTCTATTTTGGAATAGAGAGGGCAGGGACTACCTCCTCGGTGTTCACCAACAAGTCACGATCCATGGGGATCGCGATAGTCCTCGTAGACCCCTCGAACCTTACCTCAAGCTGGGTAAGCCCCTCTTCCATCATCCTGAGGTCGTCCACATCAACGTCGGAACCTGATTCATCGCCCTCCTCAGCGATGCTTTTGCCCCTCTCATTGACTGGGAAGGAGCTATCTACAGATGTTCGAAAAGTCGATGCCTCCTCTCGCCGCGAACTATCAAGAACATCAGCAGTCGTCCCTTCAGTTTCCATCACCGCAGAAGGAAGAGACACATCCACATCGTCTCATACCGACCTCGAAACCTCGAGACTCGGCTCAATATCATCTCCCACAAGAATGGTCACCGTCTCACGTAGCTAAAAGTCCACTTCCGCCGCATCAACGGCTCGGGTGACTTCGTCACCAACATCCATGGACCTCCTCTTTCGTGGCAGGAGATGTCCATCACTAGGAAAAGGTTCATCATCCTCATCGATGAGAGAATACATAGGAGAATCCGATGTCTCCACGGCCGAAGCAGGAACAAATTTGGACGTGGCGACAAAGGAAACTAGAACGAAGATAGGATCAGCTGCGGTCGAAATAGGGGTAGAAACCGAGGGCGTAGTAGCCTTCCTCTTCCAGAATGAGGGCGCAGGAGCTCTCGACTTCCTCGTAGACCCCCTGGCCAGAGCTAGAGAAAAACAGGAAAAGGGAAAATCAGCGAAGGAAAACCAGCAAAGAAATCAAGACACTGATGGTAAAAAGGAAATTACTAGTCGAAGGGAGAGCGGGCACGAATTTCTTGAAAAAACTTGGCCATTCACGAATCCCTACGATGTGAGGGAGGATCCGCTTAACCCAGTCAGAAATATGAGCGTCCAAAGAAGGAGGCGAATTCTTGGCTGCAAAAGAAGAAGACGGGAAGTCAAAATTCAGGACCGAACACAGGAGAGAAAGCAAAGTACTTACGAGTATAATTCCAAGCCTCAGGAAAGCCGTTGACATTGGCTACAACATCCTTGGTTCTGACAAAAAAGAAGTTAAACCAGAATTGACGACTGGCCTTGTCGTCCATCTTCACCACCAAGCAATTGCCCCCTCGGTGCCGAAGCTTCAGCATCGTTCCCCTATAAAAGTTGAGTAGGACAAACGTCGTAGTGACGATAGAAATCTTCCACCAGTGCAAGGAGGGGAAAAGAATAGCCGACTTGGAAGGGGTATGCGTAGAGGGCGCAATACCCAGGACGGTGGGCTTGTACCGTATCCCCCTCGGTCGGGATCAACTCGATATGATTGGGAAGGCCGAATTTAGCCTTAAGCTCCGTTAATTCCTACACCGTCATCACTGACCGAAAAGCTCCAGGTGTGACCACTGGTGATTTGGTGAAATCGGATCTAGAATCAGGGTTGCGCGGGATTATCTCCTCCACCGACGGGAAGGTTTCCTCCTCAACGGTGGCAGGAACTCTCTCCCCATGAGAGGGGAACACCACTGCCAAGGGAGCAACACGACTCCCCTATCCAACCTCAGAAGGTACGTTAGACATGATTCGACGTAAGGAAGGAGAATAACAAACGAAAGGGAATGAAGAACAATGTAAGTCGCTGAAACAGAGAAGAGAAATTCGGAGAAGAAGAGAGCAAGAGAAAGTATGGGGTTTTGAAGTGTTAGAAGACTTAAAACTCCAAAATTGTGTTCAAAAACCTCTATTTATAAAGGTCATGGCACCGAAACCGAAAATGGCTCATCATGATTGGCATCGGAACCGAAGCGGCAGGTCTAATCAAAGGTCAAAGGCACTTGTGCCATTGCACTTCCCCATGAATGCTGAGAAGCTAGTTAATATCAGTATTTGGAGTCTCTGTTACATTACAAGTTCGATGATCCTTCTCTGCTTGTTGAAGCCCTAACTCACGGATCTTACATGCTAACTGATATTCCACGATGCTATCAGGTTATTATCATAAATAAATGTTATCCATCTTGATGTTGATTGCATTTTTCTCTACGAGGTTTTATTTGAATTATGTCTTGCCTTCTTTGAATCTTATGCAATGTCTCGAGGACTCTATTGATTTGAGGTCTGCCTCCGTACATAATGAATGCTATGCTCAAGCTGCTTTGAAGACTGGCTTGCACAGGCTCATTCTTCATGCTTCACAAGATCTGGAGAAGCAGATAGTTAGTACTGCTCTGAATATTCAGAAATTGAATCTCGTGTCCAAATTCGGATGGGAATCTGAAACTACTTTCCCGAAGGTATTGCAAACTTGCTCTCAAAGTTGGGCATAACTAATTTGAAAACCAGGAAATTAAAGTCGGGATCTCTTTCCGCGATCAAAGTGTAATTTATTCCCACTTCCATCATTCTTAACCTCATCTCTTTGTCGAGAGCTTCACATGTACTTTAAGGTCAACATAAATTTATAGTATTCTCTATGCTAATTTGATTTCTATTTATAGGTTTATCGACAGTCCTCCCTACGAACTTGCAGACTTCAATAGCAAAACCTATTCTTGACCAAGATCATTTTGCCACTATGGCCCTGCAGATGAACAAAATAATGGTTATTGTCAAATGTATAGTTTTAGATGTTTCGCGGATGACTGGACATTAAAGGGAAAAAGAGTAATAACAAGAACAAGAGCATGGTGAATGTTGTGTTAAATAACTTAACTCATCAATGGTAAAATTGATTAGCTGAGAACCATTAAAAAAAAATCTATGAACATCCTGCTATTCATTGAAATGCAGACAAATGAGGCTCAAATTAAGTATTGCGTCCAATACAAAGTGACCTAAATAGCCACCTGATTACATGGACTATTTATTTACGTTGATGTACTTGACAGAAATTAGATATGCTTATATCAGTGAGAAATCATATCAGCTCTTAAGTTCAGAACATTCTGAAAGAAAAGAAACTTGCAGCAGCATACATTCACTCCAATCATTTTACTAAACATGCAAAAAAACGTAAGAGTGGCAAATAAGGGACATGAATATCTATCTACTTGTAACAAGCAAGCGTATTCAGGTTTGTGCTAATATTAAACTTTTCCAGGTAAGATTATAATATAGGTAAAGAAGCCTTATATACTTGTAATGCAACAATCTAATCCAATTTCAGATCAATCAACAAGTTTATCAGTAACTAAGCAGTCTTATTTAAGAAACATCTTGAGAGTTTAGATCAGATCTAAACGAACCATTGGGAAGCAATTCAGTAACTAAAGCTTCCACCCTACTGAATGAAGTGAGGTTCCCAAACTACAACAAACAGTTTCAGTTTCTGATGCACCAAGGTTAAGAGTCTCAATTATTGCATTCTAGTGTTTTGCTACTTTAGTCTTTCACATCTCAGATTACCTTTGTGCTTTATTAGGTAGTTACCACTATATAGAGGACAGCATGTTAATTTATTTTCCTTATATTCTGTAAGTATGACATTAGAAAAAAAATTATTTGGTGATATGTTCCTTCAAAGGTTAATTAGGTATGGATTTTTGGAATTTCTTAGTGAACAAGTACTTGCATATAACTTGACAAAGTGAACATATAGAGAGCAAGGCGACGAAAAAACAGTGAAAAGGAAATCGCCACTTTTGAAAAGCTTCCTGGCTTAGATCCAATGATGAAGCTTGTGGACAACCCTATTTTGTACCAACAGATATTAACTGATCTTAGATGTTCCTAAATTTGGAATCGCACACACAAAGAGACAGCTGAGGCTACTTAATTTGAAGATGGAAGCACCAAAAGATCATCGATAAAGCAAACCACTAGCACTGCTTTTGAGTTTTGATTCAGATCATTCCAACCAATAACACGTACATATCAACTTTAATATAAAAATAAATTTACCCCTATACATATTGAAAGCTGGTTAGCAAGCTTGCCGAAACCAATGCTAGCATTATAGGCATCTGAAACTAGTCGTGTATGTTGTATCTTCATGTCATAATAGCTCCTTGCTATCTTTTGCTCCTCTAGTCCACAAGGGTCCTCCTTGCAGAATAGTTGATCGTAAGAGAAAATACATGCACTTGAATGGTACCAAGACAGAGAAGTTTTAGCTTAGCATATTTTCTTTGCAAAATATGAATCATAAAATTGCACACAACAAAATTGCAGTTAAAGAATTGAAGACTTGGTTTCCAGTATCTATTTAACTTTGAAAGTCTAGGCAATCTTTAAAACAAACTAGTTATGTAGTTAGCACACATGATACTAAAGGTGTGTGGGAAGCAAATTAGCTCATTAATTAAGGCAAATCAAACTTCATAAAAGAATGAAAACAGAAACAAAAAATTATACCTTATCCGAGGTTCTCAGCACATCCGATGTCCAGCTGGCGTAACTCTTCCTAGTAACCAAACTTTGAGAAATTAACTTGTATTGTTCCAGTGCTACTAGCTTGGGATAAGACTGATTGCTAGCCATAGCTTTTAAGGCCAGCCCTAGTTCTCCCACAAAAATTTTATCCGCTACTTGCGGATCCATACTCTGGTAAGCTCTAAAGGAAGAGGAAGTACTACTCTGGCGAGTTAACTGTTGGTTAATCTCACGATCATTGTTGCCGTCACCCCAAATTTTGTCACTTAAGTTGAATAGCTCCACCTCGTGTGGGATGATCAGAGTCCTCCTCCTCTTTACAATCTTATTATATTTCTCCCTAAGACACTTCACTTTCTTTTTCAAGCAAATTACTGTGGCTGATTTGTGACTAAGAGACTGTTTTATCAACTCACATAGTGCAACATAATCTATTTTTCTTAATTTATTCCCTTCTACAAATTTTAAATTTATCAGTCCCTTCAGAATTGTTATCTCGTCTTCCTTAGTCCACGTATTTGAAAATGCTTCAACTTTATCATCGTTTTCCTTACTTGATCCCTCCACCTCTATTTGCTTAGGCAGTACTTCACCATCATCATCCCGATATGGTGTCTCTATATCAACCAACCATAGAGCTTTTCCCTTCTTTTTCTTCTTTGTGGAAATTAAACATCTTCTCCTCCCTCATTTTCACTGGTCGCTGTAATCACTTCATCATAGTCATCTCCTCTATATCTCTTCTTTTTCTTCTGTAGCTTTTTCTTTAATTTAACAGCTGAACTCTTTTGCTAAGTCTCGTTAGGAGGCTGTTTCGCTTCGTTTAACGTTTGGTCTTCTCCTTGTACAAAAGGAGGTGTATCTGAATCTGCATTACATCCATTCTTGAAAACATATATGGAAGGAACAGGAGGAAAGCACGGCAGAACAAAAAATAAGAGAAATAGACAACACAAGGAGATAATACATGCAACAACTTTCCAAGTTTGAACATTCCATTTCCTTTTTGTTTATTCCCCCCGGGTCTAGAATCTCTGTTTTAAAAGGCTTTTTTAGAACTTGCTCGGGGCTCGTCCCTGTGCGGGACACTATCAAAATTCCATGAGGCTCAACCGCAGGACTTAGTTCCATGAGGCTTACGCCCCAAGCGCCCGATTGTGCGTCTTGAACACGCCTAATGCTCAATGCTTGCTCCTCGCCCAACAGTTCTTACACAAATCATGTGTTGAATTCCCTACTTGGCTTTGTTGACCCTTACAATTCTATAACAAATGAATGACAATAGTTCTATTCATCTGTAGGAATATAAAAATTGAGAGTAACTCAAAGAACGAGCCATAGTATTGCATATTATTTAATTGAAAATCGTGAGAGTGAATTTCATTTGAATATTTTTTTGGCAAATAGATAGCCAAAATATGTATCTTCATTGCCATTGGTGTTCATGTCTTATAGCTGTTTGGCCAAACTTCTAAAATCGGCTTACTTTAAAAATTGCTTTTCTAAAAAATACGTTTGATGGGAAGCAGTTTATGTTTGACTAACTATGAAAAGCACTTCTCAGCAGAAACTAGTGTTTGGCGATCTTTTAAAAAGTGCTTCTAAGGGGGCCGTTTCTCCATACAAAAATTTTCACTTTTTTTCAAAAAAAAATTTACGTGTTTTCGAAATTAGCGTTTGGCCATGAAATCTTCAATTTTCACTTGAAGATGAATTTCGTAATTTTTCGAAAATTTGAAAAACTCCAAAAGGTTGTTTTTCAAATTTTCACTTCAAATCACTTATAAAAATTCAAAAACTACCCAAAATTGTATTCATGTCCAAACACAACTCTAACTTTCAATACCATTTTCACTTGAACAATTTTTTCGCTTTTTTTTTGGAACTTTACACTTATGTCCAAATGCCTACTAGTGTATTTTTCTCAAAAGTGCTTTTCAGAAAAGTGCTTTTGGGGAGAAGCTATTTTTTCTGCTTCTCCAAAACTGCTTCTGTTTCTACTCAAAAGCACTTTTTTTCTTTTAAAAGTTTGGCCAAACACATTAACTTTGAAAAAAAAGTGCTCTTGACCTTGGAAAAACTTGGCCAAACAGGCTATTAGTTATATGTCTCTCAAATTTGAAAGTAATTTTGTATCTAATTGTGAAGGAAAAATATTTTAAATTACAGTATTTATTAATTATTTTACTTTTAAAGAGGTAAAATGTGTAGTTTGATAATAGTTTTTAAAAAATTATAATTTTTTAATTATTTGAAAGTTAAGTATGATTGATTTGTATCTCATATTAACTTTAAGACTATTGCATTATTAATATTTGTAAAAATGCTAGATACTTTTATTTTCTATAAGTTTCTTTAATTCTTTTCAATTTTATTAATTTTAATGTACTTCTTATATTTTTTGTGTTATTATGCTATTTTATTAATTTATAAATTAGAAAATTTAAAGATCCATAGGCTTACGCTTTTGCCTCGCCCCATAATAAGTAAAACGCCCTGCTTCATGCCCCTGCCCTTTAAAACACTGTTTAGAATATGAAACTTTACTGGAAACCAATCAATTCTTCTTCCATTCTTTTTTCTTCCTTTCTTTAAGGTAACAAAATAAAATCGGAAAAAGAAAAGGAGAAAAAAGAAAAATGCATATATCCTCTGGAAGTCAAAACTACTGAAAATGAAGAAATAAGAGAAGTTGAAAAGGTTTTTATCAACAAATGCATATATACCTTTGGAATTTGAAGAAGTTTCTCTTCGTCTTTTAGTTCCATGTTGATTTTGTTTGAGTCATTTTCTTTTTCTTTTTGTAGTCTCCCTTTCTTCTTGAGTGGCTTCTGATCCTACATGCTCATCTTCCATATCTTTAATCAGTTTTTCTCAAATACCCAAGAATACTAGTAACAGAGGAGAGTATTTAGCGGAGGCCTTTCAGATACTTGGCTTTTACAGTTTGTTGGGACGTATTGTATTGTGACGTATTGTTACTTTTAAATACAATATTTGTTTTGATTGTTACTTAAATTTTATTGTATTGTATCGTTAAAACCGTCGTTACGTAACAACAAAAAGTGTCACTTTATGAAAACACGGATTTGGTGTGGTGGCGTCGTTACCTTATTTTTTTCTCTCATCTTGCCCCTTCTTATTATTAAATA